CAAACCAGGGGTTGAACTCAGGCCCTTGCACTAGCCAGGGAAGTGCTTATTCCACTGAGCCATCTCTCTGGCCCCTTTTGCACGTCTTCTGCTCCTCATCCATCCCTCACTTTTCTGTTGAAGAAACTGCTTTCTTATTGATTTCCTGCAAGTTCATGTATGATAAATTTTGCTATGAAGCTTATTTTGTAGGACTTTTTGTGTGTTTTGTTTTTGTTCGTGATGGGTTTTTGTGTGTGTGTGTGTACGGTTTTTTGGGGGGGGTTCATCATTTTTTTATTGGTGGTGTTCCTTTGGCACTGATCAAACTTAGGACCTTGTGCTTGTGAGGCATGTTTGTTTTTGAGACAGGATCTCAGTATGTAGTTCAGGCTGCCCTTGAACTCACAGTGATCCTCCTGCCTCAGCTTCCTGAGTGCTGGGATTATAGGCGTGTGCCACCACGCCCCACTTCCTGCATGTTTACCTCAGCAGTTTCTGTGTGCTTTTCTGTAATCTTTGTGGGGTTCTCTCAGTGAGTTCTGCAGTGGCTCTGATTTTAGGATGAAAGCTTCACGACAAGGCTGATTAGGATGTCACAGGTGCCTGCTGCCCTGGCTCCACGTTCTTTGGAGCCTCGTGTGCAAGGTGCCTCGCTGGCCTGGCCTTCCTTGCCTCAGAAGGGCCCCAGGGAGCTCCGTGCACAGCGGGAGGACTGGGGCTCCCAGCCTGGGGCTGTGTCGGCCTCAGCTCTGCATGGAGAAGGACAGATGCACCTTCTGAGCCAGGAGTTCCACTCTTAATCTTTTTTTTGGCGGAACTGGGGATTGAACTCAGACTCTTGCGCTTGCCAGGCAAGCACTTATTCTACTGAGCCATCTCCCCGGCCCCTCTTAATCGTTTGCCATAAGGCTGGGGCCATAGCTCAGTGGGTAAGCGCTTGCCCCCCAGCACTGCAAAAGAGAAGAAAACAATTTATCCTCGCAGGCATGGTGGTCCCAGCGCTGTGGGAGCTGAGGTAGAGTAAGAGGATCACAAGTTTGAGCCCAGCCTTGGCAATTCGCTCAAAAATTTGGTGACTTAGTGAGACTGTCTCAAAGTAAAACATAAAAAACAGGCTGAAGCTCAGTGCCAAGGGCCTGGATTCCAGCCCCAGGACCACAAAAGTACAAAGGAGAATTTATCCAAGGCACCCGCTGACTCGCGCCCCGACCGGATGAGGAGGGGCGCAGTGGGCAGATGGGGTCCCCTGGCCTGCCTAACTGGAACTGGTGCACAGAAGCGCAGTGAGCAGCACCGCATGGCCCTGTGGGTCGTTGAGTGTACACACCCATCACCCGCCCCCCACTGCCACAGCGCGCCAGGCCTCCTCCCCACCCCTGCTGCCCTCACAGGAAACTTGGCCGCGAGGCTGTGGTGACTTTGGTGAGCTGTTGAGTTTTCTACGCATGGAAACAGCTCCACCCTCCAGGTGTTGGTGTGACAACAGGGTATTCTATGTTGTTGCCAGGTGTGCCCATGACATACCTGTGCCCGAGTGTGTTTATCTGTTCCGTGTGCATTTGGGGAGCACCCGGTTCGTTTCTGTTGTTTGATTGAGACACGGTCTGGCAGTGTAACCCAGGCTGGCCTTGAACTCAGAGCGATCCTCCAGTGTCAGCCTCCCAAAGCATGTGGCCCCACACCCGGTGGGAAGCTGCCAGTTTACCAGCTGTCCAAACAGTGTGCTGTAGCATGTGTCCTGAGGTGCTCAGAGGCCGCTGTTTTGCAAGGACAGAGAGAGGCTGTGGGCCTGGCTGTGGCCACTGCCGTGCACACTGATGGTTTATCTCCATGGTGGCCTTGCCAGGCCACTTAACCTCTGTGGAGCATCGCAGTGTCACACCTCATGTCCCCTCGGATGACATACACCCCGAAGGCTCCACAGAACCTCACTGTCCACATGTGACAGAATGAGTAGAAGCGGAAAGTAACATCTTAGGGTTGTGATGGGTCCTTAGTGTTGCCCTCAGAGGCCCCAGGGTCACACTTGAGAACCACCCATCTCGCAGAATGCTTGACCCAGACCCTGGGGGTCAGTGCACTTTGTATATGAATGGGCTGGGGATGTAGCTTCCCATAGGCCCTAGGTTCGATTTCCCAATACCCCAGGCGCGCTGAGCCTGCCACCAAGTCCTGGCATGGTAGCACACCCCTGTAATCCCAGTGCTGGGGAGGCTGAAAACAGGAGGATCACTAGGAGTCCAAGCTGCATAGTGAGACCCTGTAGACCTTGTCCTAAATACATTTATTTAAATAAATAAATGAAGAGTGTGGTGGAAATGCAAGTTTGAAGACAAGACCAAGATGTGAAGTGACTTCCTCTGGGACCAAGAGGGCCACCCGGTGGAGGAGTGCTTGCCTCAGCCCCAGGAGGCCCGGGGTCCCAACCCTGCACTGAGAAGTTTCCTGCGGCGAAGGAGAGCTGCTCCTTGCACTTTACAGGGGGATAATGGTAGGTATGAAATCACAGGTGTTTAGATTCCACCAGCTACTTTTGAAACACAGTGTAACAGTGTTATTTTAGAAGGATGAGATTTACATTGTGCCGAGAAGTTTATCTTTTGCCCCTAGGCTTAGGAGGAGAAGCCTTAGGTGGTAATTTAAAGACAGGTGAGACAGGTGCATAATTTGATTAAATCCTTGGAAGGGTGTAAAAGCTTGTAGGCTGTGAGGCCGATCACCAAAGAGACTTGGAGGAGCCTGCCCAGCCTTAGCAGGGAGTCTGAGCCAGAGGATCGTAAGTTCAAGCCCAGCCTGGACAACCTGGGCAGAGCTTGTCTCAAAAAGTCAAAAGAGTAGGGTGTGTGGCTCAATGTGAAGACTCTGGATTCAAGTCCCAAGACCACAAACATAAATAAGAAAGAGGTACAGCTGCCGCTTAGTCTGCACCCCAGCAGCTCTTCGTTTTGTTGTTAAAGGCCGCGTTTGGGAGCACATTCAGTGGAGTGTCAAGGAGAGGCGCCTCTGTCCCGGGGGGCACAGCAGCCTCACACGCCAGGCTCTGGTCATCACAGCCTTCACCGTCTCCGCTCTCCCAGGATGACACGGCATGGCAAGAACTGCACGGCGGGCGCTGTGTACACTTACCATGAGAAGAAGAAGGACACAGGTACTGTGCCGGGGGGCAGCGTGTCCCTGAGGGACACTGAGGCCCGGGGCACTGCACGCACCTGAGCTTGCTCAGAAGCAGAGCTCGCTGACGGCCTCTTCCAAGCTCCCCATGCTGACAGCCAGTGTGTCACTCACTGCCTGGAAGCTACAGCTTCCTCTAGGTCGTGTGGCTCTTGGATGATTGATTGATTGAGTGATGAGTGCCTGACTGATTGGGGAAGGGTGAGACAGCATCTCAACACAGAGGCCAGGCTGGCCTTCAGCTCACTGTGCAGCCTCACGTAGCCTCGAGCCCACAGCAGTCCTTCTGCCTCAGCCTCCCCATGCTAGAACTGCCAGCCCGTGCCACTCCCCTCTCTGGGTGCTGTCCATTACAACCCTCCTCCGTCCCCAGCGGCCTCGGGTTACGGGACCCAGAACATCCGACTGAGCCGTGATGCGGTGAAGGACTTCGACTGCTGCTGTCTCTCTCTGCAGCCCTGCCACGACCCTGTTGTCACGTGAGGCGCGGGGGATGGGATGGAGGCGGGGTGAAGGTACCAAGGGTCTGGGTCTGGCCGGGAGGCCTCTGTGGCCTGTGACTCCGTGGCATGCCCCGCCCACTCTCAAAGCCTAGGGAAGAGCATGCCGCATTCATGTGGGGCACAAGGCCCTGGGCACCTTGTCTGTGATCCCCTCGTGTGTGGTGCCACAGTCTTTCTGCCTCAGTCTCCCCAGTGCTGGGGTCAGGTGTGTGATCTGTGTGCGCATCAGGCGTGTTTCTCCTCCCCTCTCCCTGCAGCCCCGATGGCTACCTGTACGAGCGTGAGGCCATCCTGGAGTACATTCTGCACCAGAAGAGAGAGATTGCCCGGCAAATGAAGGTGACAGGGATAGGGAGAAGGGCACGGGTGGCCAGGTGCTGGGCTCTGAGCCCAAGGCAGAGCCATTGTGGACCCTGTTGCAGTTCCTGTCCCCGGGGCCTTCGGCCATGCTGTTCCTCTGCCTGGAGCCTGTTGCCCTCTTGCCTGCATGTTGCAGCCCAGCGGTGCTGGCTCTTACCTTCTCATTTCTAGGGTCTGCCCTGGGCACCTTTTCCATCACAGCTGTGAGCTGTGTCACTTGTGACTGCATCCCCCCTAGACAGCGGGCCCCAGAGACCGTGAGCACCCCCACCCTAGGAACCTGGTAGACTTGCCGAGTAGGCACACTGAGTCTTTGTGGGCTCAGAGTTACCATCTGTAAGACGGGCTGGCGGGACAGGCTGGCGCATGCTCAAGCAAGTAGACTCAGGCTCTGAGGAACAGCGGGCTGGCCTCCCTGGACAGACACCTGTAAAATGCCGGCCTCTCATTCTGTGTCTGAGCCTTCCCGTGGCTGCCTGGTTTTCCAGGGATCAGGAAATGTTGTTTTACTTTATTTATTTATTTTTTTAAATTTTTTTTATTTTTTGGTGGAACCAGGGATTGAACTCAGGCTCTTGCCGCTTGCCAGGGAAGCGCTTACTCCACTCAGCCATCTCCCTGGCCCCCCTATTTTACTTTATTCTGAGGGGTACCAGGGATCCAACCCAGGGCCTGGGGTATGCTAAACACTCTGCTATGGAGCCACCCTCAGCCCGCCCCCCTTGAGCTATTGGTCCCAAGGCAGCACCCTGCAGGTCTGTCCTCACCCTAAGTATCCCTCACTGTGGTGACTCAATGAGACCCTGGCCACTGCCACCTCCTCACTCAGGGTGGCGGGCTGGGGTCTGCAGCCTGCTCCCCCACCCCAGCATAGGCATCACTGTCAGCGCAGCTCCTTGCCTCCCTCCAGGGCTGTGTCTCTGGGCCAGGAGGGGTGTGCCCTTTACCACAGTCACGCCCCAGCCACCAGGCAGCCTTCACAGAGCTTCCTGTGTACCGCTCGCGGCTGTGTACTTTTTGTGTGGTACTGGAGACTGAACCTGCAGAGTTTGCACTAAGCTACCTTCAGAGCCTTTTTTCCATACACTTCCCAGGGTGGACTGAACTTGAGTTCCTCCTGCTTCAGCTTCCCAGAGTGGAAGGATAGAGAAATGCCCTAAAAAAAATCCTTGGGGCCGGGGATATGGCTCAGTGGAATAAGCGCTTCCCTGGCAAGCACTAAGGGCCTGAGTTCAATCCCCGGTTCTGCCAAAAAATAAAAAAAATCCTTATTCCAGAGTGGAAGGATCACAGGCCTGTGCCTCCACCATCCACTTCTAAGGACGTTTAAAACTCCTTAATCATGGTACGTTCCTGTAGTCCCATTAACTCTGAAGCTGAGATAGGAGGATTGAGTATTTGAGCCAGGACTACAGAGTGAGACCCCACTCAAAGGCCAAGCAAGCCAAGCCCACAGTGCTTTGAGGGGCGCAGGGCTCCCTGTGGGCATAGCCTGTCCCTCCCTGCGTCCCTCAGGTCTGCCTGTTGCCCTCTTGCTCAGTGTTGCAGCCCTCCTGCGGCTAACCCTTTCCAGGACCTCCCGAGTGGGCTGCCATCCTGAGCCACTTTAGTGCAGAAGCAGGCTGGGGGCCCCTTCACACTCGGGCCGGGGAGTGCTGCCCTGCGCTGGTCAGGGCTATGCCAGAGCAGCAGCCCCTCAGCAGGCCTCAGTTTCCCGTGTGATCCGCCCTGCAGGCCTACGAGAAGCAGCGCGGTGCGCGGCGCGAGGAGCAGAAGCAGTTGCAGCGGGCAGCAGCGCAGGACCAGGTGCGCGGCTTCCTGGAGAAGGAGACGGCCATCGTGAGCCGCCCGCTCAACCCCTTCTCGGCCAAGGCAGCCACCAACCCAGGCACCGGCCCAGGTGACAGCTGGGGCCTGGGGCCGGGGGCCGTGGGGGTGACAGGGACCCAGGCGCAGGCAATCTCTCCCTCTGCCTGCAGATGACACCCAGCCTGGGCCCAGTGCAGGAGCCCCAGGCAAAGACAAGGACAAGGAGAAGGACAAGGCCCTGCCCAGCTTCTGGATCCCATCACTGACACCAGAGGCCAAAGCCACCAAGCTGGAGAAGCCTGTGGGTTCCTTGGCGGCCCGTCCCCTCCCTGCCCCACCCCTGCCACCCTGTGCGGCCCTGACCCTGCCTGTCCCCACAGTCACGCACGGTCACTTGCCCCATGTCTGGGAAGCCTCTGCGCATGGCGGACCTGACCCCTGTGCGCTTTACGCCACTCGACGACTCGGTGGACCGCGTGGGGCTCATCACACGCAGCGAGCGCTATGTGTGCGCTGTGACCCGCGACAGCCTAAGCAACGCCACGCCGTGTGCCGTGCTGCGGCCCTCGTGAGTCACCTGGGCGAGAGGGGACCTGGGGGTGCTGTGGCTTCGCTGACCCAGTTACCACCTCTCACCTTCCCCAGGGGGGCGGTGGTCACTCTTGAGTGTGTGGAGAAGCTGATTCGCAAGGACATGGTGGACCCCGTGAATGGGGACAAGCTCACGGAGCGCGACATAATCGTGCTGCAGCGGGTGAGCCTCCTGCCCCCACCCCCTCTCCTCGACTTCCTGACTCGACTCCTGCCTTCACCTTCCCAAGCCCCGCCCATCAGGCCCCGCCCTCCAGCGCTGGCCCCGCCCTTTACCGAATCACTTTGCTCCTGGCTGCAACCCTTTACCACGCTCCTGGTACTGCATCCGTTCATGGCGGTGACCTCCATGCCACGCCCTTATAGGGCCGGGGAGATGGCTCAGTGGAATAAGCGCCTGGCAAGCACAAGAGCCTGAGTTCAATCCCCAGTCCTACCAAAAAAAAAACCAAAACCATGCCACACCCCTTCATTTTAGGCCACACCCTACCAGACTAATTTAAGATCCCTAGCTGCAACAAGGCCTGAACTCGAACTGTCCCCTCTCTAGGGTGGCACTGGCTTTGCTGGCTCTGGAGTGAAGCTGCAGGCCGAGAAGTCTCGGCCAGTGATGCAGGCTTGAGAGGACACGGAAGTCAAATAAACCGCTGCTGCCACACACCTGACGGGCACCTTCATTTCCCAGCTGAAGAGGGGACAGCGCTAGATGCCTGCCCTGGGGTTTAAAAGAGCTGCTCAGAAGGGCGCCCCAGATAGCCTAGCAGATTACAACACCTGTTTAGGAAGATGCAGGGACCGGGGTTCAATCCCCGGGCCGGGGAGATGGCTCAGTAGAATAAGTGCTTGCCTGGCAAGCACACGGGCCTGAGTTCAATCCCTGGTTCTGCAAAAAAAAAAAGAAAGAAAGAAAGATCCCGGGGCATGGAGCCAGCCCCACCCCCAGGGCACACTGAGATGGCGATTGAAACTGGAAATGATGGTGCACAACTGTAATCCCAGCCCTGGGGAGGCTGAAAACAGGAGGATCACTACAAGCCCAATCTGTAGTGAGACCCTGTAGACCCTGTACTAAATACATTTAAAAGAGAAAAGGCTCAGAATATCCCGTGTCTCACAGTCAGAGCAGACTCAGAACTGACTACATACCACAGTAAGGACAGTAAGCAGGGGGCGAGGGAGATGGCTCAGTGGCGCTTCCCTGACAAGCGTAAGGGCCTGAGGCCAATCCCCAGTTCCACGGTGAGCAGGAGTGAGTGTGCAAGCTGCTCCTGGAGTTGCAGCACTGTGGGAGGCTGAGGCAAGAGGAGCACAAGTTCCAACCCAGCCTGGGCAGTGTAGCTGCTTCAAACCCTGTCTCAAAAATTGGTGTACATGGCCAGTGCAAAGGGCCTGGACTTGCTCCCGGTGCTGCCTTGCCCCCCACAATGTTGTCTCGACAGCCAGGAGTCAAGGTGAGCTGTGACGGCCCAAGTTGCCCTGTTGGGATCTAAGTGAACGCAGTTGGGGCGTCCCAAGTAGGGTCCCCCCACATGTGCCACGTTGGAAGCATGTGGCCACAGAGGAAGCTGTTAGGAGACATACAGGAAATAGAATTCTGCAAGGGGGCAGAGGTACCCTGTGCAGAGTGTGGTCAGGACCCTGCTGCAGGGCCAGAGGAGGAAACCCTGGGTGCAGAGGCCTGAGGGCAGCAGGGCCTGCAAACGGGAGGGAGGGAGGCACAGGCTGTGCCCGCAGGGAGCCCTACACCCCTCGAAGCACTGTGGGCTTGGCTGCCTTGACCCTTTTTTTTTTTTTTTTTGCGGAACCAGGGATTAAACTCAGGCCCTTGTGCTTGCCAGGTAAGCACTTATTCCTCTGAGCCATCTCCCCAGCCCAAACAATTGAGCTAAGGGGCAGGCCCCATGCCTTGGCCTTTTGAGCGAGGTCTCATAGGCCCCGCTCTTTTTGGCTGTGTTGTACTCAGCCTCAGACTTGCAATTCTGCCTCAGCCTTAGGAGTTGGGAGAATAAAAGTGTGCACCTGGTTTAAAGCTTGGTAGCTACGTTTTGCTTGTACTGGGACCTAGCCACAGGGCGGGACTGCATTGCCAGGCCTTTTGTTTTGCTTTTTTCATTTGAGAACCAGTCTGCCAGAGTCGCCCAGGCTGGGCCCAGCCTCCTGCACCTGACATGAAAGCTTATTTTCTGCTTCTCTGAGGATGGAGCCCAGAGCCTTGGCGCCAAGCTACATCCCCAGACTTTTTGTTTTAATTTCTTATTTTGAAATGGGGTGGGCAAGTTGCCCACACAGGGCTCAAATTTGCAATCCTCCTGCCTCAGCCTCCAGAGTGCCTGGATGACACACAGCGCTATGCCTGACGTTCAGCTGGTGTTTAGGTACCAGGCCCTCATTGAGCAGCCCCAGGGCTGTGGAGAGAGCTGGAACGCACGGTTGCGGGAAGACAGAGACCCCCCCCCGGCCTATCCGGGTATCTAGGGCCTGACTTTGTGACAGGCATGTTCTTGGGGAGCAGACTCCTGCCATGAGGCTGCCTCGCTGCCCCTGAAGCCTCAAGATGCTGCCACCTCCATAACTTCGTCCTCCAGCCTACGCTGCCCAGGCGGTAGGTAGGCCACAGCCAGAAGGGGTCTGGCAGCAGGGCAGGTGTGGTCCCCCAGCGCCCCGGGCACCCCAGCCTGGCGTGTGCCCCACAGAAGCCTCTGGAGGCCCTGGAAATGCTTAGACCTCTCCCCCTGCAGGACCCAGCCCAGGGCACTCGCTCAGTTGTTGCTGAGCTTTGAGGAACCCAGCCTTGCTGCTCGGGGGTTCTCGACCACACACAGAGGGAAACATCTACAAAACCAAACAAAAGGGGCCCGGGGAGATGGCTCAGTGGAATAAGCGCTTCCCTGGCAAGCGCAAGGGCCTGAGTTCAATCCCCAGTTCCGACAAAAAAACAAACAAGTGGAAAGATTTTTAGGAGAGAAAGTTACTCTGGAAGGGAGAAACTGCAAACCCAGGGCCACCCTTGGCCAGGGAAGAGGGAAGGAAGAAACAGCGTAAGCCCGGCACAGCGGTGCTCCCGAGGAAGCCAACACAGGAAGAGCACGGTGAGTTCGCAGCCAGCCTGGACTGCGTAGAAAAATCTTGTCTCTCACACATACCCCTGAATGCATAAAAAATAAAAAACGAAAAACCATAAGTGGATCTAGCAGCACTGTTCCCAATAACCCAAAAAGCAGAAGTGCTCCAGATGTTTGTAGAGGTGGGTGGATAAAGAAATGGTCTGTCCATCCCAGGGAGCACTACCCAGCCACGAAAAGGAGCACAGCACCGAGGAAGGCTGGAAAGTGCGTGGGCTGAGTGAAAGAAGCAACTTAGCAACCCACACGCTGTACTATCCCGGACGCAGTCCAGGGCTGCTCAAGCGGGAGGGACAGAAGTGGACATGTGCCTGCCAGAGGCTGAGGAGGCGGGGTGAGGCGCTGCTTAAAGGGTCACACTTTGCACTCGGGTGGTGGTGGAAACAACCCACTGGGGATGGCTATGCTACCTTTAAAAAGCCCACTGGGGGCTGGTGAGATGGCTCAGTGGTCTAAAGCACCTACATAGAACAAGCTTAGCAAAGCACAGGGACCGCGGTTCAATCCCCAGCACCACATGCCAGCCAGCCCCGCCCCCTGGTGGGCTGAGCTGGCCACACGCGCGCACGCAC